GAGGAGATGAGAGAAAAAATCACAACTTTTGAATTATAGATGAAAAATAATTAATAGTTAAAATTAAAATTCAATTATAAGCACCCATTTATAATATTATTACTATTATCTCTTCTATAACTATCAATATCACCAGCTCCAACTGTCATTATTGTCATTACTATTGTCACAACCTTTGTTGTAATTAGGAACGAGGATAATGATGGTTGTGGTAATGTCGCCATTGTTGTCACCATCGTCGATGATAATGATGTTAGTGACATCATTGCCAACACCATCATTGTATCGTGATAATTATTGTTATTGTCACCATCACCATTAATGTCATCGTCACCATCATCGATGTTGACATGTGACAACAACGACAATCATAATAGTACTAGTAGCATTGTTGCCTCCTCCACCATTGTCATTATAACATTGTTGTTGCCACCAACATTGTTAGTACCAACATTAGTAGTGGTGGCAGTAGTAACGAGATCAATGGTAGTAACGATGGTGGCCATTGTAGTAATAGGTGGTGGTGATGTTGATAATTGTGGAAGTGGTAATAATAGTAATGTTGTAAAGAAGTGCCTATAATTGAGTTTTAATCTTAATCATTAATTATTTTATCTATAATTTAAAGGTTATGACTTACTCATCTCATCTCTTATAATGACATGCTCTCATTGCATATACTCTTGATACACACACAAACTCGAGCAAACTTATCTTTTCCTAAGCAAGATAATCTATATTTATGCTTAAATTTACATATTCCTACTCTGTGAGTTGGCTTTGTAATATTTCAATTTTTGATTGTTTGTGAAAGTATGAACATATTTAATGAAAAAAAGAATAGTTTGGATAGTAATCTACAAATAAAATTGTGTTTGAAAATATTATGAGTGACATCAAGAATACTTTTTTAACAAAGGTTAATTAGTGAAACTTTTCTAATTCAAACATAACTTGACATTCATAACTTAGATTGAGTGAACTAATGTGAAAATATTTGTGTTTTATTAGTTCCTTTTATCACGTCTTTCGTTGGACATAACACTTTTTGAACTTATATATGTTATCATATGTAAAATAAATAATCAAAAATCACATACACACATTTCAACCATTTCTTGTGATGTGTTTTGAGTTACTTCATTACATAAAGGTAAAAATTAGATTAAAAAATATTAAATACTTTTAAATTTTTGAAGACTTAAATATATATATATATATATATATATATATATATCATCACATTTATTACATATATATAATATAATATTAAGAAAATTTATAAATTGATTTATTATATTTCCATTTTATTATTTAATAGATAAATATATTAATTGTGTTTAAAATTATCAAGACATTAAATATATGTTTTTATTTATGACTTTTTTAGAAAATATTAAAAGAATTATGAAAAATGTCTGTAAGAGAGATATTACTTTTTTTATGAGTATAATAGTCATGTATTTTTGTATAAATATTTTTTATGTTATGAGTGTACATGGAAAATATATTTTTCTTCTAATTTTTAGTTGTTTTTGTGAAAAAATTGTTTGTGAAATAGGTTGGTTCTTTAAGACAACAAATGAATCTTGTAAACATTTTTTTTCTTTTTATAAAAAATAAGTTATTTTCATGATTCTAAAAATTTGAAGATAATAGTTGTTTTTCAACCGTTATTTTTCAAGATAGATTTACTACATAAAAACTAATTTTATATTGTATCCAAAAGAAATTAAATATCCCAAAATCATTTTTCATCAAACTTCCTTAAATAAAAATTTATTTAGATTATAATCAATTATTAAAATAATCTAATTTTTACAAATTTTTTAAACGCACTCTATCAATCAAATAGTTTTTATTTCATTATAAATTTTAAGATAATTATTGTAAGATTCAATTAACTTGTCATAGATAATGATTTACACTTAAATAATATTTTAATTATTATACATTATTAGTGTAAAATTTTCACAATTAAAATAAATGTTGACATGTGTCTTTTGCATTACAACAAAATTTAGTATTACCGATAATTATTTAATGGAAATAAATTAATTACCTCTATTTTATTATTTAATAAAAATATTAATGACTATTATGTAATAGCCACTAAAAATGTATTTACATCACATCAAAATTTATTATTAGCGACAATTATTTGTTAAAAAAACTTAAGTCCCACATTGAGTAGAAATAAAATAATTAAAGAGTATATAAGTGAATGATAACTCTCATCTTACAAATATATTTTATAAGGTTGAGTTAGGCCTATAACTTACTATTTTAAGTTGGTATTTAGGAGATTAGATAATTAAAAAAAATTAAAGAATATATACTTAGAAGATAACCTTCATCTTCTAAGTCCCACATCAATTAGAAATAAGGTAACTGAAGAGTATTTGTACTCATCTTACAAGTCCTACATAGACTAGAAATAAGATAATTAAAGAGTATTATAAATATTTTCTTAAACTTTTATCCGCATATAGAATAATTGCCGGTAAATATTTTAGCGACACTATATACAATGACTAATGTGTGAAATGTCAGTAAAAGATTTTGTAGTAATTTTTATTACCACTAAAAGTCATATTAAATGCTACTAAAAGTTCATTTTATTGTAGTGTTGAGATGATTATTTTTAAAGTTAATAAACTTATCATATATAAAGATCAAGTGAAAAAGAAAAATTAAACATTCATTTCAAATTCGGTGAGTAGGAGTAAAAAGGAGAGAGATTAAAAAAAAGAAAAGAAAAGAGAAATTAATAAATGAAAAAAATAATATAATAAAAATGAAAAAATGTTAAAAAATGGTAAAAGTAAGTTGTAAGTGACACGACTATACAAATATAATATCTTCTCTATCTCATAATAAAGGGTCTTATTTTTTATGTAGACAGTAAGAGTTAATAAATAAATGAAAAAATATTAATTTTATAAAATTAACTTTATTATTGATTTTCTTTATTATAAATAAATCATGCAATATAATAATTTCTTAAACTATATTATTAAAGATATAAATAATAATTAATGTGATAACTCATATTACCTTTAAATTTATAATACTTATATTTTTTCTTATACGATACTTATTGTGATACATGGAGAGTGTAAACTCTAACATGATTATGTACAAATTATTTGTAACATATATTTCCTTCATCCTAAAATAAAAACAACTTTTTAATGTTTTTTTTAAATAATTGATGGTATTAGTTTTAAATCCATTTTAGTCCTTGAAAGATAATATAGGTGGTTTATAGGTTTTTCGAAGTATTTTTTTAATATTTAAATTCTTAAATTTTAATTTTATTATGTAAGTCAGTCATTTCCTTATACTTAGTTGTTAACTTTATTAATTTCCTGAACAATCAACAGCTAAGTGTCATGTTAGCACCTATTCTCTCATTAGTTGATTGTTCTCTCTCCTAATCACCTATTATAGATTATAATGTAAGATTTTGATACTTTTCAATAAGTAACAAAGACTTTATCACGTATAAATATTCTGGTCATGAGTGGTCTATTTAAAATGAAAGGTTGTTGGATTTCGTAGGATTTCATGTAGTTGGATTTTTTTGTCTCAAACATCCTTAATTTCTTCACCTGTTTTGGCTACTTTTTTAGGCTTGTCAACTTGAAATTATTGAATTTGAGATTTAACAAAATGAATGGTTGTTTTGAAAGATCTCAAGTAAAGATGTATCAATCGAATATGGATGTTTTTGATGTATTTAATGAATCACAGTACTTCTCAAGTAAAAGTGCGAAAGAGCTTAGTAGTGATAATCCTCTATGTTATTATGGAATTCGAGAATGAGAGTGGATAAAAAGAAATAAGTCATTTAAATATCACTTTACTTATTTTTAAATTAAGTTGAAAATTAAACCTTACTTTGCTATGTGTCCAAATCTACATAGCTTGAAATTGTTGCATGACAACTGAGAGAAAATACATGTCAAAGTGACAATTAACTATTGATTAATAATGAGATTAACAAAATTAGTATCTAAACATAATAAAAAAGACTAACTTGTATAACAAAGTTAAAATTTATGAACTTAGATACCATAAAAAATCTTTCAAAGACCTATAGACCACCTCTATCATCTTTCAAAGACTAAATTGAATGTTTACTTGTTTTTAATGTAATATTAATATTTTAACCAATTAATCTTAACATAAATTGTATTGACCTTGATTAATTTTGAGCACATGTCTTTAAATTTTTCAACAACTACAATGCATTTATCGAGAGAAGGAGATTATTTTTAAAAAAATCATATCAAAAAGATATTTTTTTTCATTCTATAGTAAGTATATTTTTGTAATAAGAAAAAATAAGTTCTAAAATTAGTATTATTTTAACTTTTTGATATAGTATTAATTATATCTTTTCCATTTACAATCCTAATAATATTCTTTAAAAAAATTATTGTGTTACATCATTTATAACAAAGAAGATTAATAATAAAATTATTTTTATAAAATTATTTTTCTTTTTCACTTATTTTTTTTAATTATATAAAATAACTTAAGATGATATTTATTTAAAATAAAAAGAGTAATATTATTTTAAGCTAGAAAGAAGTTATGCATTAATAATATGAAACAATTTTACATAATAATTCAATCACAAATTATCATTAATGATAATTTTTTTAAATTTATCTTAAAAATCATACTAATAATAAATATTTAAGTAGTGTAAGGTTTAAAATTTTTAATTAAAGGTCAACTTGATGTTTTCATGTTAGATTTTCGTATGTATTAAGATGATATTTAATTAATAAAAATTATATTTATAAACGTGGATTATTTTTTAGTCATCAACTTTAGAATACTAAATAACAATATCGATGAAAAAATAAATAAATTAACGGCTGTTAAACCATTTTTATTAACGCATGTAAAACTTTAAACTGTAATAATATATTTATATTATTTATTGTTTGGTTATCGTGAGAGTGTCGTTTGTTATTGTTTTCTTGCGCATGACACATACATACACTTCTCTTCTCTCCTCACTTCCAGGTCAGTCTTCCAAAGATCTCTTGGGTGGTTGTCAAATTGTGTCTTCTTGTGAACAAGTCTTCCATGGCTCTCACCCTACACGCTAACATAGAATAGCCTCAAGCCAAACCTTACGCTTAAAGCTTCTCCTTTTGTTGGTCTCACTCTCTTTATGTTTATGGATCTGTTGTCATTTATTCTTCTTGTGGGTTCTGTGTGACTTTGCTTTTCTTAATCCTTGTTTCTTTTATATTCTCAGAGGGGTAGGAATTTGGTTGTGAAAAAACAAAACCACTTTTTTCCAACTAAGCGAATCTTCAGTTGCCATGTTTCATCTCTGGAGCAATTCTTCTCAACAAGACCAGGAAAGCAGCGAGCTTTATGCTGAAGACAAGGTATGTTGTTTTTTAATTTGGTGATGTTATGTTTTGTTTGGAAAAGTTTAGGCACAAAGGGTGTTAGAGTTTGGTTTATGTTATGATGAATTGTTGACTATGCATCTTGGTGCTGATTGTGATTGTGAATGTTAAAAATTGTGCAAACAGATTAAAGAGCTGAAGGGTGCAATTGGACCCTTGTCAGGACGCAGTTTGATGTATTGCTCTGATGCTTGTTTGAGGAGATATTTGGAAGCTCGAAATTGGAATGTAGACAAGGCCAAGAAGATGTTGGAGGACACACTCAAGTGGAGATCAAATTATAAGCCAGAGGAAATTCGCTGGGTAAGTTGTGTCTTAGGTTAACATTTTAGATGTTTTGATGCATAGATATGATCTGAAATAGTGTATGGTAACGTTATTTTTCAGCCTGAGGTTGCAATGGAAGGGGAGACTGGGAAATTGTACAGAGCAAGCTTTCATGATAGGCAAGGAAGGACTGTTCTTATTTTGAGACCTGGAATGCAGGTATGATGGTTTGGATTTGGAGATATTTGGTTAATTGGATTAAGGTTAAACTATTTACTTTGTCCTTGGAGTTGTCTCCATTTTAAGTTTTAGTCCTTATACGAGAAAACTGTAAAAGATTTAGTTCCCAGGTACTAAAACTTAAAATTGCGACACCTATAGAGATGACTAAAAGTGTAATTTAACCTTGGTTTAACTTTCGTTCCTTAGAGGTTGATGGGTATAGAATCTGAAACATTTTGATGTGTTGCATGCAGAACACTGCTTCAATGGAGAATCAGATGAGGCATCTTGTGTATCTTTTGGAAAATGCCATGCTTAATCTTCCACCAGGTCAAGAACAGATGGCATGGTTGATAGACTTCACTGGTTGGTCATTGACCAACAATGTGCCCCTTAAATCAGCCAGAGAGACCATCAACATTTTGCAGAACCATTATCCTGAGAGGCTTGCCATAGCATTTCTTTACAACCCCCCTCGAGTTTTTGAAGCTTTTTGGAAGGTTTGTTCACTTTGTTCTTAGTCATTTCATTAAATTTTCTGGTATAATTGGGAATATAATACCGATTCCATTTAAGTACACTGAAGTTAAATGTTATCCTTCTACTGATGCAGATAGTTAAGTATTTCTTGGATAGCAAGACTTTTCAAAAAGTGAAATTTGTCTACCCGAAAAATAAAGATAGTGTGGAGCTCATGAAGTCATATTTTGATGAGGAAAACCTTCCCAAAGAACTAGGTGGAAAAAGCATAATGAGTTATAACCATGAGGAGTTCTCCAGATTAATGATTCAGGATGATTTGAAGTGTGCAGCATTTTGGGGTTCTGATGAGAAGCTCTCAAACCACATTGCTAAGGGGCATTCTGCTGCAGCAGTTTGCAATGAAACTCCAGGGACCTGAGGCATGTTAGGCTATGTTTAGATTACTGTTTGCAGGTCGTGAATGTACATTGAAAGTACGTTGGGAGAAGCATGATCTGTTACTTTTGTATCGAATGTAATTTTGGAAGGGTTAAAACAGTAATCCAAACATATACTTAGTTATAGTAGAGAAGATATGAATACTAATAATTGTGAAGCCATTGGCTCCGAGTAAAATAGGACTAAGGATGCTTCCCCAGTTTACAGTTAAGAGGGATTTATAGTACTGCATAACTATTCAATCGTGATATGGTACACTTTTTCCTAAGCTAACAAACTTAGCTCAAGCAGAGGGTCTATTGAAAACATGACAATGACAATGTTATTGTTTAAAAACTTACCTTTTCAACAATAAAATTTAAAAACCATCAGCCATTCTCGGCAGCACAATGTTTTGATCATTTACATGAAGACGCTTTTACGTGCTACTTACAACCAACATAATCAACCACACAATCAAGCATTGGATGTGATCCGATGATGATTACAAAATTTTAGCATCTATACCCTTTGAAAGATGAACATTTCTTTCAAGGCTTATGAAAGGGGAAAGAGTGTATTAAAAAACGAAAAAAAATGCCACTGATAGTTTCTTGCCTTTGAGCTATAGAGCATATAAGTTCAAACTAAAAAGGGGTTATATGAACCTCCTTCTAAAATTACGAGTAGTTGTTTGGTACGAGCGTACTAACAAGCTAACCCCTATACCAACCCCTACACAGATGCCAAGCCCGATTCCAACACCAACTCTTACACCAGCATTAAACCATGATAATTCACCATCTTCCACATCTACATACCCTGTTTTTTTCCAATACATGTTGTAATCACCTTCTTGTTCCATTTTGAAGGTTCTGTAGTCAGCAACCTGTGAAGTAAAACGAGGAGGAAATTTAGCAGAAACTAATTCATAGAAACTCCAGCATTCGTAGTAAAGCAACACGGTTATAGACACACACTGTACTAGGAATTTTCACTGCCATACTTGATTATCATTGGCTATTGAAATTGAGAGGCAATACCAGGAAAAATTAACAAAAGTAATTCACATGGCACAGTTACATGTTTTACATGATCAAAAGATCTGTTTAAATGGAATTCTGACTGTCCAAAGAAAGTCAAGATATAGAACAATGCATGGCAAAGATGATGAAAGCATTAACCAAAAATCAAGCTCTTAATTCAGATACTCAGAATGGATGCATTCGCATCATTAAAGAAAGGGTAAATTGAATGTTCTGGTTTAGTGTGACTAAAAGTCTATTTGTATATTAGTTTATAAGAGTTTTTAAGAGCTTCTTTAGTGGGAAAAACTCTATTTTCGGTAAAAAAAATAAAAAATAAAAAAAATTCAAAATCTCTTATAAACTTGTATTTAGACAAGCACCAAGTCTTTCTATCAATACAATTGAGAGATTCTGGCCATGTAGATGTATACTGCCATTTGAGGTTAGAAATGATTATGGAATAAATGTTAAACAGCCCAAATTATTATTAAAAATGACATTATGTTTTTTCAGCCAACTAATTTGTAAGTAAGTTTAGCAATTCTCCACACTGAAGTGTAAAACTGAACTTGAATCACTTTGGACTTTAATTGGTATTATACTGTTTCACATCTGAGATATTAAATTTGACAGACTGTAGAAAATAAAAGGGGTTAACTTGAGACATCACATTCAAATCATGGTAGTGTGTTACAACATCACTCATGCACTATACAAAGGAAATATATGACAGAATTATTTAATGGTCATTGAAAACAGGGTTATTTAAAAACTTGTCTCCTCAGAGTTTTGAGAAAGAACTGTAACCATGAACTCACATTTCGTTTGTACTTTTTCCAAATGGACCCAATCTTTAAGCACACATACAGATGCACAGGGGCTACCTACAGAGATTGTGGCCCCACTAAGAATTGTGTCCTTAGGTAAGAGCCTGTTTTGTTTTGTAATGTTGGAGAAAATGAAGCAGAAAAATAATGAGATATATTTGAGCACCCCATAAATAATACAAAAAGTGTGTTGTGACTTGAGCCCGCCCATACTCAATGACACTTTTGGGATAGGGTACTATTATTCAGTAGTTGGGACCAAACTTAAAAAAATGGTAGCATACATAGAGGGACTAAATCATAGACAAATTAATACAGAATTTGTAGTATCTGGCAGAGTAATTTTTTTTATTTTTATTTTTTATTTTTTATTGTAAACCAAGGTATCTCCTAGTCAGAACTTAAGACTAACCTCTATTGAGGTCTATTTAAGGGATTGGTCTCTCAACAATTTTTTTCCATACATACATGCTAAGGATCAAATCTCTGACCCCGGGTTTAAAAGATAAAATTATCAATCAATCATGTCACACTTTGTTAATCCAACAAAGTTAGTTTTCATTTAGAACATCATTTTATGTAAATTTTCCGTATTATTCAGAGAATTTGTCATATTTATATGAAAACTTAATCCAAGAAAACTCATCCCCTCATAACCCTAATGGACTATAAACAAAAGATACAAGCATCAGAACACCACGCCAAAAAAAATCTGCCATTTTTTTTTTACCTCCAAACCAAGTCCATGATCAGATTCATCTTTCTGGCCTTCAGTTGTTTCATATTCTGGAATGGCATCCAAGGCACATTTCCTATTATGCTTCTTACGGCAATTGAGTTGCAGTGTCTTAGTTAAGATTATTGGTGTTCCTGAGAAGCAGCCAGCAACATAAACCTCAATTTCAGGACCAGTTAAGTCAGGGACAGCAACATGTTTGCCCTTGAAGAAGCCACAACCAGGTGCCATTTTTGTTTGGCAACTCATACTCCATGATCTCTTCGCATTACCTCTTGATTCTCCAACAAAACCATTGCTATTAGACATCTCCAGAACCCCAGAGAGAATGCATTGCTCCTTATCATAAACCTCAAACTTCATGCTCCCTGTAAAACGTATGCTATCCGTGTTCACAAAGGTAGCTTCCTCAGATTTCTTATCCACTCTATCCCTTCTGAGAATTGAAAACTCTCCATCAGAGTAAACGCTGCTCCTAACACCATTCACCTCTAAAAGGGTATCAGGACTAAGAGGAATATGACTGAGAGAGAGAAACTCTGGGGTGGATTCATCAACCTGAATGCCACTCACTCTCACGTAAAACACTCTTAGATCAAACCATGGTGATGATATCATGGTGCAGGGTTTATAAGGAGAGTATTTAATAATCTGAAGGCTTCTGTTACCCGTTTCTCCATTGCATGATGCTTCATAAGATCCTTCCATGTTCATATCCTTACTCCACTCACTCTATCACTGAAATCCTATATGGTACTGTGGGATAATTGAAAGCATCCTTGGAAGTGGAACCTCCAAAGTCTACATCAGAGTCCCAATTGAAACCTGCTTCACAATCAACAAAGCACTTGGAATTTTCAATAATAGAATCAAATCAACAAATCATACGGCATCACACGGTATAAAACTATAATTGAAATTTAAAGAAACACAATAAAAGGGAAGGGAAGAAGAAAGAGAACTTGAGTGGAGGTGGAAATCATGAGTTACGAAACTCGAGTTACAACAAAAAGGAAAGAAAAAACTGATCAAGTATGAAACTAAAGAGTTTTTTATTTTTTTTTTCAATATCTGTTAACTATAGTAAAAAAACATACACGTCACACTTGTTACTAGGAGCCAAATCTGGGTATTGTAAGAAGATGCACAACCACAAACAAATTCAAATCCCTCTTTTTCCGCAAATAAACACTAACCATGAAAAATATTTCATTCACAATCTCAGATTATGATATGATGGCACCCCTTAAACACAAACCACCCATGTTTATGTGCAATCAAAATCTAGAACCAAAGTACCTTTCAGATCGTTGTCCACCTTTTGATGCAATACATCTATATCCTGCCCCGTGGTAGTGGCAGGTTTGCAATAATAATAATAACAACCTTGTGCTCTTTAGAAAGCATATATTGGTTAATGGCATCTCTAAAATAGATTATGAAAGTATATACTAGTAGGATCATATTTTATGTATTAAAAATCAGGATATTTATTTCATGTTATGGTATTGGATTTGTCTTATTGTTGACTTAATTGATGGTATTAATATTATTTTTCAAAATATGAAACAGCGTGATGGAGTCTTAGATTGAAAGGACTATGGACCTTCTGACCAGGATGCTTCATCTTATCCGATAATCAGATAGATACGAAGAATTTGCATTTACGAATTACGAGGTCGGTGTGTATTATAGAATGAAAGTGACGGTCGGGCCAAGTCTTTTTTGTTCATTAGGTTTAAATTTAACCTTTAAATTTGCGTAATTTTATTAAAATACCGTTGAATTATTTAATGCTTAAATCGTTAATACAGGTTTATTGTCTTTTTATTAGTAAAAATTACCATGACAACAAAGTTCAAATACTATATATTATCTTAAATTCTCATCGTTAAGCTGATCTTAGCTATTATATATAGGTGTATTGTTTCTGAAAAATTGAAAAAAGAAATGTTATTAATAAAGAAGGTTTATATCTTTTGTTAAGTATTTTTAAGTTCTCAAGATAACCGATTATTTTGTTTCTATTTCTTATTAACGCATTTAATAGTATTATGTTTTCAAAATTCTCTCAGTACACGCAAGGCAATATGTGGTTAATTCTGCAGTAAGCATTGGCAGATTTTTAAAAGAAAATTAGGTCAGATTTGAAAATCAGAGCCTTTCTCTATATTTTTCTACACGAATTATTCATTTATTTAATAATAAACATGATATTATGTCCATGTTTAATTTTCTTCTTCTTTCTTTTTTCCCTTCAAAATATTATTGTTTTGGATTAATAAATGCATGGCAGGCTTCGAGCCTTTTTTTTTAGGAGGGGGTGGGGATCAATTCTTGGAATCATTTTCAGGCCCAAAATCGTGTTTGCTGTTGGATTTTACTTTTGACTTACGGAAAGCCCATATATATATATATTTGACTTAGTAATGCATTTATTAGTATTTTTTTTCTTTCAAAAATTTCAATGTAACATTATTTTTCCCTAAAATTAATAATAATAAGTTTTGTAATTAATATTTATATTATGGACTTAATTAATTCATTATTAAGATTATAATATAAATTAAGGATGCTTTTATAAATAAAATAAAATAGGAGTGTTTTGGTTGTATTGGTTTAGTGAGTTTGGCTTTAGAAGTCTAACCCAAGTTAGACATAAGAGCCAAAAGAAGGGGTTAGAGAGAAAAATTTTCAAAGTCGTGTTGTTTATGCTTGTGATACTTAGAGAGAACTTGTAAAGGGAAACCTTAAAAGGTTTGGAGGTATGTAAGATCACACTACGAGTTTTGAAGACCATCTTTCAAGGTAAGAGGTTAAACTTAAGTGTTGCGATTTTGTAATTTTTAAGTATAATAGATGATTCATTCAAATCTTAAGACATATGAGTTGTAGATAATTATCTTAATTTTCTAATGAAATTGAAATCAACTTGATAGCATACATACAACTATAGATATTGTGTTTAGACTACATAAGGTTATAGAAACTTAAGATAATAAAAGACAGTTTATGAGTTTTAATGGTGAGTTGTTTTATCCTTTAGGTGCTTAATCTTGATAATGGTTTGAGATATATATATATATATATATACATATATATATATATATATATATATTAATAGTTTAAAAAAAAG